TGAGAAGAACGAAGATGAAGACGATTTCTCGTTCATCTGCACCAATCCCGACGAATCGCCAATTTCCACCGACGATATATTCCAAAATGCCGTATATCTTCTTTGTTTAATTGGTAGTGATGTCTTGCTCTGGTTCTGAAGTTTCTTTTGATATATCACAGTGATAGTGGTGTGTTTATCGAATAAATGGTTGTGTGTCAGTTGGATCAAGACCAATCGAGGGCCAAATGGACAACATTTTGTACCAAAATATTTGCAGATTTGCTGGTTGAGCAAATATGGAAAGGAAATAGGAGTAGCGGTGCTTTTTGAAAGTTAGCATGGAAGATTATCCGAGATGAATTCAATAGGCAGACTGGTCTCAAGTTTGATAAACAACAATTGAAGAACCACCTCGATGTTCTGAGGAAGAGATACAATTCTGTGAAGGCAATTCTTGATCACCCTGGCTTTACTTGGGATGCTTCTCAGTCTTGTATGGTGATTTCATATTTTTAATTTTTTCAGTCTTGGAGTATAAATTTGACATGCAGATACTATTCTTCTTGATTTTATCTGTTTATTTTTGTTATTGCTGAATTGGAGGTAATTTATTGGATTTTTTGATTTCGTTCTAATTTGTATAGATATTCGTTTGAGTTTTAAATTGTGATTTTAATTTCTTTTTGTTTATAATTTGGATTGATTTCAGATTCTGTTTGGTTGTGGATTTGCTGTTTGAGATGTGGTTAGAAATTTGTGGTATTCGGTTTGGTTTTCATACTAATTGAGGTATGCTTTTTCAGTTGAATTTGAGTATATTCGTGTTTTTTCTGTTTATCACTGTAAAGTTCCAGTATATGGTAATAACACTGCTTGTTTGCTATGAAATCTTATTTCTAATGTATGTATACCACTGTAAAGTTCCAGTATAGGGTAATAACACTGCTTGTTTGCTATGAAATCCTATTTCTTATACACATCTACCACTGTTAAGTTCAAGTCTAGGGTAATAACACTGCTTATTTGCTATGAAATCGCACGTCTACCATTGTAAAGTTCCAGTATATGGCAATAACACTGCTTGTTTGCTATGAAATCCTATTTCTAATGCATGTCTACCACTGTAAAGTTCTAGTATAGAGTAATAACACTGCTTGTTTGCTATGAAATCGTATTTGTAATGCACGTCTACCACTGTTAAGTTCCAGTCTAGGATAATAACACTGCTTGTTTGCTATGAAATCCTATTTCTAATGCACGTCTACCACTGTAAAGTTCCAGTCTAGGGTAATAACA